GTAAGTCTCGTGCTTATGGCCTGCTGTTGGGTGTTTGCGGGGCGGCCAGTCTTTGCTTTGTTTTGGCTTGGGATTTACGTGTTTTTTGTTTTGTTTTTTTGTTAATTGGGAGATGTTGATTTCTTGGGAGGTGGAGGTGAGGGTGGGGGTATTTGCGTGCGTGTTTGTTTTATCTTTTTAAGGGAGGTTGTTTGTATTTTCTAGAAGGGAGGGTCTGTTTATGTTTGCAATGTTTGTGCATGCATGTATGGGTGGTTCTGTACATATTTACGTATGTGTGTGTGTGTGTGTGCGTGCGTGTACGTGCGTGTATTCTAAAGCTGCGTGCATGCTTTTCTACGCATCGCCGACCGCCTCGACACTCGTTGACAGTTGACAGTCGCCAGACTCTTCGTGGTCGAACTCTATCCTCTATCGTCATCCCCCACGAACTCCCCCTCACCTCCTCCTCTTTCCCCTCCTCGCTTCCCCTTCTCCCCCATTCTTCCCTTCTTTCACCACCCTTCTCTCTTCTCTCTTTTCCCTCTCCCTGACTGTACCCCACAACCTCACTCTCCCTCCCTTCCTCTTCCCCTTCCTTTCCCTCCCCCCCAAACCCCCTTCCCCCTTCCCCTCTACACCCCCACTTCCCCCACTTCCCCCTTCTTCACCCCCACCCCCACCCCCACCCCCCCGCTCTCGTACACGCGCGCGACCGCCACATTGTCTGAGTTTCCAGCCCAGTAACGACAGGTAAACAGGGTAATTATATCAGGAAGGGGAGGCCGGTCTGTCTATTTCAGATGTATGGATGCATTGTGAAGGTCGTGTGTTCCTTTTAAAATCCCTTCGTGATATTGACAAGAGAGATGGGAAATGAGGAGGAGGAGGAGGAGGAGGTGGTGGAGGAGGAGGAGGAGGAGGAGGAGGAGGAGGAGGAGGAGGAGGAGGAGGAGGAGGTGGTGGTGGTGGTGGTGGTGGTGGAGGTAGTGGAGGAGGAGGAGGAGGATGTGGAGGAGGAGGTAGTGGTGGTGGTGGTGGAGGAAAGGAGGGAGGATGAGGAGGAAAAGGAGGAAAAGGAGGAGGAGGAGGAGGAAGATGAGGATTAGATGGGGGAGGAGGAGCATAAAATAAAGGAGGGGCAGGAGCGAGCGAATGAAAGAATTAAAAAGGAGGAGGAGGAGGAGCGAGCGAATGAAAGAATGGGAGAGGATGAGGAGGAGGAGGAGGAAAAGCGAGAGAATGATAAGACTGGAAGAGGAGGAGGAGGAAAAGAAGGAGGAGAAGTAAGAGAATGAAAGAATTGAAAATGAGGTGGAGGAGAATCGAGAGAATGGAAGAATGAAAGAATGAAAGAGGAGGAGGAGGAGGAGGAGAAGCGAGAGAATGGAAGAATGAAAGAATGGAAGAGGAGGGGGAGGAGGAGGGGGGGAGGGGGAGGGGGCAGCTAGCAGAGAGCACAGCGGTTGAACTAAATAAACAATCGACGGGTGAACAGCCTTTGCACATCTCGCTCCCGTAGTCTTCTCTCTCTGTCTCTTTCTCTTCTGTTCTCTATTCGTCGCTTATTATCTTATTCTTCTCGCCTGCTTCCCTTCACCTGTCCTCTTTTTTTGTCCTTTTTTAAATTCTCTTCTCTTCGCTGTCCTTCTGTTTTCTTTTCTCCTTTTCTTCTTCTACTTCTTTCTCTCTCTCTCTCTCTGTCTGTTTTTCTGTCTCTGTCTGTCTGTCTGTCCGTCCGTATGTCTGTCTGTCTCTTTCTCTCTCTCCCTCCCTCCTTCCTTCCTTCCTTCCTTCTTGCTCACCATCTTTCTCTCTCTCAAATCTTTCCTTACTCCCTCCCCTCCCCCCCTTCTGCTTTTTCTTTCACTTCCTCCCCTTCTTTACCTCTGGCATTTCCTCCTCCATTCCCTCTCTCTCATTTCCTCCATCTTCCCTTCCTTCCCTTTCTTTCTTTCCTCTCTCTTTCTCCATCATCCTCTCCATCACCAAAAATATCAACAAGCAAAGGAAACAAACTAGCAAAAAAATAAAAACAAAACAAAAAACAGCAACAAATCAATAGACGAGGAAAGAATCACCCCCCCCAAAAAAAAAGAAAAGAAAAGAAAAAAAAGACAATCGAAACAACACGCCGCGCAGTATAAACATTAAAGAAAAAAACAACAACAACAAATCAATAAACGAAGAAAGAATCAAACCCCTCAAACCCAACCCAACCCCCCCCCAAAAAAAAAAAAAAAAAAAAGAAAAAAAAGACAATCGAAACAACACGCCGCGCAGTATAAGTATACATATATTTCGATCCTCCTTGTAACAGCCGCTCGAATCGCATTCCACGCCGCTCGAAAGAAAACGGAATCGCCCTTGTGATGGGAGGATTGCATCACATTTTGCGGGAAATCGGTGACGTAGCGAGGGTCGTAGGGGGTAAGGGGGGTGAGGGAGGGCGGGTGGGGGTGAGGGAGGGCGGTTGGGAGGGGTAGGGGGGGATGTAGGGAGGGGAGGGAGGGTGGGAGGGGTTGGAGGTGTAGGGAGGGGGAGGCAGGGTGGGAGGGGTGGGAGGTGTAGGGAGGGAGGGTGGGTGGGAGGTGTTGTAGGGAGGGAGAGAGGGGGTGTGGGGAGGGAGAGTAGGAGGGTGGGGAAGAGATTATCGTATTGTATATGATGAGAAAGTTAAAGGGAAGGAGAGAAAAATAGAGAAAAAAAATGCGAAGAGAGAGTGAGCGAGAGAGATGATGATGCAACTGGGTGTAGGGGGAGAGACAGATAGATATACAAACAAACTAATAAATAGATAGAAACAAATTAGAGAAAGATGGTGAAATAAAGGAATAACCTCAGTCTTCCGGCGACGTACAGATACACGGACGGACGCACGGACGGACGGAAGGACGGACGGACGGACATAGGGCCTTGTGATTACACCAAGAGGCGGAACCCCGTTAGAAGGAAGCGGGCGGGGACCGTGGGGGGGAGTAGGGGGGGAGAGGGGTACGGGTGGGGTTGGCAGGTGGTTCTTTCCATATTCCGCTCTTCCCGTTTCCCTCTTCTCTTCGCTTCTTTTCGTTTCTCTTTCTTTTTTTCTCTCTTTTTTTCTTCTCTTTTCCTCTTTCTCTTTTCTTGTTTCCATGTTTCCCTTTTTTCTGTCGTTCTCTCTTTCCCTCATTTCCCTTCTCCCCTTTTCTCTCTTCCGTCCCTCTCCTCGGCGTGTCCCAATTTATCCTCGTTTTTCCATCTCCGCATTTCCTGTGTGTTTCCATTTCTTCTCTCTCCCCATCTCCATCATCATTCCCCTCTCTTTTCCTGTATGTCTTCTTCTCCCCTCATTTCCCCTTCATTTCCGTCTCTCCCTTCTCTCTTTCCCCTTTCCTCCCTCTTTTATCCACGCTTGCTCACTTTTCCTGTCATTCTATAGTGAAATCGCTTAAATCGAGCAAAAAATCGCTTAAAAATAGCATAAAAGCATATCGAATCGACTGCAACTACCTTTTTGAAAAAATATATTACCAATGAGTATCGAATTCTTCCGAATCGAGCGCAAAAGTGTCTTAAGCGAGCCCTAAATAAGATAAAAAAAAACACAAAAAACAAAACACATTTCAAAACTCCAGAAAAAAGTCACACACAACAAGCGCTGAAAACAAACGGTAAAACAGCTTTAAACGAAATAAAAAAGCGACTTTAAGCTCGCTGAAAACTCGCTAGAAACACCGCGAGCGCTAAAGTCCGTGGAATACTAACACAACATTAGTTTAAAACAAGCAAAAAAGCGCTCAAATACCCTGACTAAAATAACTAAAAAAAAAAGAAGGAAACAAATAAAATGAAACAGAAGGAAGGACATGAAAGAAAATCAATAAAAGGAGTGAATAAAATGTCTAGAGGGGAAAGCAAAACAAAAGAAAATCGGAAGTTAAGAAGATCGAAGATTCTTCAACTGAGCAAAGAAAGAAAATCGGAAATAGAAGAAAAATAATGATAGTGAGTAAGAATCGAAAAGAAATAAGGAAGAGCGAGAATTAGTAAAAGGAGTAGGGAAAAAAACCCAATAAGGAATAAAGAGAAAAAAAAACGACACCACCAAAAAAGTGAATCAAACAAAACGAAAAAAGTAACCTAAAAGAAAATAAAGAAAAACAACAATAAACGTAATAACACAAGCAATGATATCAGTAAAGGACCAGAAAATAAGAAACCACAACCCCACAATAACGACAAAAAAGAACAACAGAACAAAAACAACAACAATAATAACAACAACAACAACTGCAAACAAAAACAACAACAACTGCAAACAAAAACAACAACAACAACAAACAAAAACAATTCAAAAGCAAAGATCGGAAAGGAGGAAGCAAGGAAACGTGGAAGGAAGTGATGGTCACAGTCAGCTGACACGCGGTTGTGACTCGTCCCGGTGGTCGCGAGCCGAATGGGGGTGGGGAGGGGAGAAGGAGAGAAAGAGAAAGGAAGAGAGGAAGAGAGGAAGAAAGAGAGAAAGGGGGAGAGGGAGAGAAGGAGAAAGGAAGAGAGGAAGAAAGAGAGAAAGGGGGAGAAGGAGAGAAGGAGAAAGGAAGAGAGGAAGACAGGAAGAAAGAGAGAAAGGGGGAGAAGGAGAGAAGGAGAAAGGAAGAGAGGAAGAGAGGGAGAAGGGGAGAGGGAAAAAGAGAGAAAGGGGGAGAAGGAGAGAAGGAGAGAAGGAGAAAGGAAGAGAGGGAGGGAGAGAGAAGGGGAGAGGGAGAAAAAGAGAGAAAGGGGGGAAAGGAGAGAAGAAGAAAGGAAGAGAGGAAGAGAGGGAGAAGGGGAGAGGGAGAAAGAGAGAAAGGGGGAGAAGGAGAAAGGAAGAGAGGGAGTGAGGGAAAGAGGGAGAAGGGGAGAGGGAGAAAGAGAGAAAGGGGGAGAAGGAGAAAGGAAGAGAGGGAGTGAGGGAAAGAGGGAGAAGGGGAGAGGGAGAAAGAGAGGAAGGGGGAGAAGGAGAGGGGAAGAAAGGGACTAAGAGGGTGAGAGGGAGAGGAGAG